CTCCTCCTCCTCCCACACCTCCTCCTCCTCCTCCTCCCACACCTCCTCCCTCCTCACCGTTTCCTCAGGATGCCGTTGCTCATACAGATGTCGCTCTCCAGCATGGCATCGTCTAGCTGTAGCAGTAAATCTCCGTCCACCCTGCACGACGTGAACTCCGACTCGAACAACTCGAAACCGATCTGCAAGATGCAGCGAAAACATAGAGTTAAGCATCGTCGACGCCGCCGCCGGCGTGAGATCAGATCACCGTGAGGCCGACGCCGTGGCAACGGTTCAAACGCGTCGAGCTTCAGCGCGATTTATTCGATTCCCTAGCACCCGACTGATGCCGGTATACACAAGGGCCAGAAGTAGCTACGGCACTCCTCTCGGTAGCCCCCAGGATGCTCCCTCGCACCCCCAAAACCCAAGTTTCCAAGTGCCCCAGAGTTTCCCTAGCACATCCAAGCACACGTTGGTGCCCACCGCACCCGCCGGCAGTTAAGTTAAATCCTTATGGCGCATAGCGTGGTTCCTATCTCCGTTTCAGTAAACCCCGAGGCCCCGCAGCTGCTTTCACAGTAAATGCTACAGTAGGGGGTTAGTCCACTGGTAGCACTGCGAGTTAACTTGCCACACTTTATCTCTATTTGCTGAATGCTAAGCAGAGAAGCCGTGTTTACCATTTTTCAAGTCTTTGGTATTCCACATGCGAGGCGAGCACTCTACCACTGAGCCATCGCTGCGGTACCCACCGACAGACCCTAGTATAACCCCGGCGCCCCCTGGTGATACACACCCAGCACCACCTGGTGACACGCGCGCCCAGCACCACCCCCCGGCGCCCCCTGTTGACGCGAGCGCCCCAGCACCACCCCCGGCGCCCCCTGTTGACGCACGCGCCCAGCACCACCCCGGCGCCCCCTGTTGACGTGCGCACGCACCTGCTTGACCCACTGGAGGACATCGATGGTCGTCCAGAGCGGCACCTGCAGGCTGAGCTTGTGTGGAATCTCCTCACCGATGATCTGCAGAGCCTCGCCCGCGTACTTGCTCGCTAGCTTGTTCGGAGAACTCGCAACCCGCTTCAGCGCGTCGATCGCTCCGATCTCGTAGAAGTCCTGGTGGCGCCCCCGCGCGGGGAGGAAAACGAGAGACGTGTGTTAGCGGAGGGTAGGCAGGCGAGCAGGCGTGGTGGGTCCCCGAATTCACCCCCGAAATGCTCGCCTGGAGACGTCGGTTCGCTTTCCCCGGGCTACCGTTCCCAGACACCTCCCGCTGCCTCCGCGAAAGCTCACGCTGCCTCTGCCCCTGCCCTTGTACCCTCCATCGCGAGGTAGTCCCTTTAACTTGAATCTTCCTCATTATTGCCCCTCCCTCTTGCTCCTCTGCCC